AAGGAATAGTAGGGACCTTGAGGGCTGTGTCGCGACGGTTGATGAGCTCTGAGGGTTCAAGAATATGGAAGGACTGGAGAAATACGGGGCTGTTGAAAGGGATGGGTGGGCGTTCAAGTGTTTCAGGAATTATTGGGGAGCATGGTATGATATAAAAACTATTAAGGGATTTTAACGATAATATGGAGGAGTCAGTCGATAGTGCTAGGAAAACTATGGCTTAAATTCCATTAGGGGTTGGAAAAAAATTGAGATTAAAAAAAAAACATAAGTTCGGTTGAAGTTTGGTCTACCCTGGCTGATCCCTAATGTTATTGGAGGAGGGTCTGAAAGGGGTATGCCTGCAGCACCCAGGGATTTCTGGATACACGTATGGGAGGGAAAAAGGGGTAGTAGAAAGAATGAAGAGTTTTGAAAGTATTGTTGAAAGATCGATAGTGAAACTGAAGATAATTAGGATGTAGGATTATTGTTGAGGGACTGAAAAGAATGAGAGGAGCTTGAAAAAGTATTTTGAGTAGTACTCGTTGTAGAAATGTTAGGGCACTTGAAAGTGATAGCAGAAATACAAACTTTCTGCTTTATGACCATTTTAAGCGGGTAGGATCGTGAAGTGTTTTTTGGGGACACTGGAATATGTGTAGCTAGTCTTTCAAACATATCTCCTAATAGGAAGAGAGGGAGAGTTGGAGAGAGATGGTATCTTTAGTGCTCTTGGGAAAGAAGGCAATGGGAGGGACCATTTCCCACCCCCTTGTAATTTCTGCTCCTTAACTTACCTTCCTATTGGCGGTAAGAGCTTTCCGGCTGAAAGAAGAGGGAGAGAGAGAGATAGGCAGACTGTGATTGATTAGATCAGATTGCTTTAATGGAAAAATTGGGTTTTTTAGAAGTGGAAATTAGGAGTAGTTTGGGAGGTGTGTAGGTATTCAAGTTGAGGTTGTTGAGAGACAGCTACTTCCCTGTTTTATTTCCTGGTCCTCCTGAAAAATCTTGTTAACCTATCTTTTGTTTTGCTACTTTTGCTTTCTTGGGGTGGGATGGTAACACCTGGGAAGAGAGTCATCTGTGGTCCAGTGTGTCAGCCTTGTGAGGATAGGATGAGTAAGGGGGACAGCATGAGCGGAATTTTGGTGTTTGAAGTGGTATTTGCATATGAGGATGAGCAGTGTGTAAGTAGAGCCACAAGTATGAATGAAAGTACACTAGGGCTTCTGAGTTTTTAGATCAGTGGTCTAGTTAAAGTGAAAATGTCTGCTAGACACTTGAAATTTTGTAGAAGAATGTGGTGAGTCTCTTGGATGTGCATCATATTTTTTCTACAGTAAAATGTTTTGGAGTCCAAAGATGGAGGTGGATTGTGGTGAGGGTGGGAAATAATGAAGTAATGAATTACATTTAATGAAATTGACCATATGTGGAAAAGGCTGAAGAAAAAGCTCTGTTTAAAAAATTCCTTACTTTTGTTATTTAATATTGAAAAAATCCCCTTCTCTTTTTATCTTTGTACACCTGCTGTTCCTGTAGTCTTTTTAAATTTTGTGACAATTTTGCATACAAGCTCTGATTTTGTTGGTAGAGCTCTTTTTAAAAGTATTGAGTACATATTTTTTGTCTTGTGTGGAAGATGGCAAGTTTTCACATTATAATTATCTGCTTTTTTCTAAGCTTCATGAAATGTTTTACTTGGGTGTTTTTTTTTTCCTTAACGTCAAAATTTAGTTTAGTTTGAACTTAAACCTCATAAGGTGTTTTCACTAGGCTTATTTAGTGATTTATATTGATAAGTTCATTTCTCCCATATTTTCATAGGCAAAAATTACCTATCAAAATGATTGAGTTTAGTTTCCCCAGTTGTTCTGAGTTACATGTTCAACTTAAAACACACATCATCCTGCTTTGGTTTCTTTTCCTTCTAAAAAATTATGGCTACATGTTTAGCCTTTTAAAAGTTCTAAAATCACTACTTAAACTTTAAAGTGGCTTTTCTAGAACTGCAAAATAAAAATACTTTACCATAAATAGTAAGAAAGAGCGAACACAGATACCACATATATTTTCATTGTTAGTGTGTGTTATCACAGGAGATTATTTTTTGTTTAGACATCCTAAAATGTATTAGATGATATGCTAAAGTGGGTTGTATTGATAGGTTTACTTTTTGCATATTCCAGATTCAAGAAAATGTTCATGACAGATGGCATGTGGCTGCAGTATAGCATTTCAGAGCAGTTGTTAGGCTTTCAGATAATGAAGTGGCAGTGGGTATGTTGGAATCATACTATAGCTGTGCACATGATTTCCTATTGCACTTCCTTATTTAGCCTAATTTGTAGCTAACTCAATTGATAAAAGTTTGTAGTATTTAGGGGTTTTTAAGCATGTTGTTACATCATGTAACTGGTGAAACAAAGGCATGGTAAGGGGGTATTTCCAGTTTACATGTGCATATCCCCTGAAGACAAATTAGAAATACTATGGCTGTTGGAGCTTATCTGTTGTGACCGTTCACTCCTTTTGTAGATGGACAAATCTATTACTTTTACTAGAAGAAAGACAGAAGGAGGGAGCCTGGAAGAAGTAACTCCTTAACTAGCTGAGGAAAACCCAGTACCATTTTGTTGGCAGTGCAGTAAAGAGGAGAGAAATCATGTTAGTAAAGGAGTTTATATCTTCCTACGGCTGCATGAACAGACTGAACACACAGATCTTGTTTGATCTTGATTTCTCATCTTCCCTGACTTTCAAAATATCCTCGATATCCTAGTCATAGAGACTGCATAGGGGTTATGCGCAATCAGGAGATGTCATGGTTTCTTCCTATCAGAAGTAACTGATTGTTTTAACTGTGAACCCCTTAGAAATAAGGCTCTAAGTAATGTAGGGATAAATGTATCACTGAAGACGTTTCTACAAGTTTAGAAACAGTTCAGGCATTTTTCAAAAACATGAATTTCTACCAAAAACATGCTATCACAGTGGGGAGTGTTTTAAGTTATTTGTATTATATATAAATATATATATAATTCACTGCTGCTTGTGTGGCTTATTGTAAAAATTTGTCTTGGTATATGTTTTACACAGTGATGGGGTTTGTAATATTTTTGAACAGTTGTATCTAGTAGAGCATTGTTAGGTAAATGAGGGTTTTTAGTTTCTAGTTTTGTTCCTTTGTTTGCTATGTGACTTAACTGAAATTCTTTAACCTTTGTCTTTTAAACAGTTAATTATGTTAGTCTTTATCTACCATACGGTATGAGTATTAATGATGCAGACTATAAACAGTACTTTGTGTACCTTAGAATCATTAAATATGAATGAAATTTTCATGGCTTTCAAAACATGAAAATATAATAAACTTTTTTCTGCAAAAATACTTTACTAATTATAGTGCCACTGACCTTTACAAAATAATAACCACTCCTGTGCATGAGAGCTACAGTCTCATTTCAGGCCCTTGTAGGCAGGAATAGGAATTGCTAGTGAAAGCCATACACTTGATGTGCAGTTTCTGTGAATTGAGGCCATATTAAGGGCTTTTTAAGTGCAGTAGGAGATTAAATATGTTGTCACCTCTGAGTATAATGAAAAAGGCATCAGTAAGACGCTCAGACTGAGATCATGTATTGGCTCAGTGGTCGCCGTGGGGTACATTTAATTGAACTCTGGGAGTTTACATGTTTCTGTGGGTTTGCAGTCCTTGCCAGGTTAAACTCTGACTAATAATCTTTGGAGTTGCTCAAATGGGAGGAAAAACCATCACTTAGTAGTTGACTTGCCTGATAAATAAACTACTAGGATGAAATGAGTAGTTTTAGCATACTAAGTTAATGACATATTTGTTCTTCTGTCCTCTGGTCTGCCTTCTAAATGTGTCTGACTTCATTCTTCCTGGCCCAATTGCTGTAGGCTAGAAGCCAGAATGCTTTTATAGCCCTGTGTTTCTTACCACTCTGTTGTCTCATCCTCTTACAGAATTATCACTTCTTTATTAATCTCATTTTTTTTAACCTTTTGTTATTTTGTACTGTAATTATTTGTTTTCATGTCCATCTTTTGGCCACATTACTGCAGGGCAAGGTCTGTCTTGCTCAAAGTAGTTCTTTTACCCAGCAAGATGCTTGGCACTTGGCACACACTCAGTAAATGTTTAAATGAATCAATATCCTGATGTATATTTAGGTTGGTCAAGAGTCTAAAAATTAAGATTTAAAAAAAGTAGTCTAGTTTTCTGGGTATACTTAGCTTGTGGCTGCTGCTCTAGTACTCACAGGTCCAAATATCAAAATGGTGTTTGGGAGAATTTTCTTTATTCTCCCAAAATAAATCTAGGGTAATTTTTTGTCCACATCATGTTCATTCATGAAAGCCCATAATTCATTAAAGGGAGGAGAAAGTTTTCATTTGAAAAGTAGTGTGAGTACCAATATTTGTGTATTTTAAATGTGTGTTAACAGGTTATTAGAATTTAATATTCACTTACACTCTTTGATAAAATCAGCTCAGATTTTATTTTTCCAGTACTGTTTTATCAAAGAAATAATCTGAACACAGATCTCAGAGTCAGGCACTTTTTTTTTTCTAATTTATTTTTTAGTAAAAATAAAAGCATTAATGCATTACAGAAAATATAGAAAGGAAAGAATAAAATTATTTGTGTATATTATTTCCATTTTCTATGTAGGAGCTTTCATTAACTATAATCAGACTCAAATGTGAAATTTTTTATCCTGATTTCTCCAATTGACATTACATCAGAAGCATTTTTCATATTTGGGTATTGTTTTTAAACCACTTTGGATGCCTAATATTTCATAAACATTAAAAAATAAGAATTGTTACCTTGACTTTATATTTCCTGTTAAAAATACTGCTGTTTTTATATAATAAATACATATATTTTTAGTATCTGTTAGGTACCAGTAATATTTTCTATATTTGGCTTTATTTCCTGAGGCTAGTTTTCCATAAGTACAACTACTAGTCAAAGAATATGAACATTTTAAATGGCTGTTTATATACATTCAGAACAGGAGGTTTTTTCCCATGAGGCCTAATAGCATATTCATTAATTGTTTGACCTCTGAAACAAAAATCACACTGAAGAAGAACTTAAAATTGAGCTCCTATTGAAAAACATGTAGATTTTTCTGAACATGGGAACGGTTTATGTATCTTGGCTTTTTCCTAAAACCAGTAGACTGTAAAGGTTTTTGAGTAGTGTTTCTTGCCTTAGGGTCTAAGGTAAAGAAGGACCTTTACTCTTTGACCTTGGGATAGGGCATATGTACAAAATCTGTAAAGATGGTGTGCTAGCTCAGCACATATGTCATATACGTGCAGTAGAGATGTCATTAAGGAGGAAAAACACAAATCTGAGAATTTTACAGGCAAGACATTTTTAGGGCATTATATTTGTTAACTTCTGATAAAAATTAATTCTAGCTGATTTTTATTTTTAAATAACAGAGTCGAAACATGTTCTTAGAACATCATTATGCAAGGTGTCAATTTCAAGGAGTCCTCATATTTGTAACTTTCACTAAACTTTAGATAATTTCTTTTTTTTTGGTTCTTTATTTTAACTGAAAGGTAATTTTTAGTTGAGACTTAGAATACATTAATTGGTTGTGCATATATACATCAGAAAAGTGTACATGGTATAAAATAGATTTAACTCTGGAATTGTAGTGGAGTTTTAATTCCACAGGTGTGCTGTCTGCCTGATCTTGAGTGGATCACTTAATTTATCTTTTTATATATTTTACATATTTATACAGTTAAGTATTTGTATAAAATGAATAGTAATTCACTGATCGTGATGTTTAGATCTTTTAAAGAGTGTAGTAGAACAGTAATTTTATTTTAGATGAGTGTTTTACCTTTTCTATTTCTCCTCTCATTGTTAAATACGAGCCCCTTTTTGTCTAGAAGCTGCAGATGCAAACTTTTAAAATCTCTCATTCCAAAATATGCTTGTTTACAGTTAAGTACAAATGAATTTCCGTAAGCTTTAGATACAAGTAAATAGCTAAAAGGGTTTAAATGGTCTTCTGTGTAAGAGGAGTAAGAAGTGCCCTGCATTTGTCTTGTAATCTGTCAAAGATCTTAGTCATGGTCAGATTTTTGTGACATACTTTGGAAGTCTTGTTGGATTATTACTACTATGGCATTGGTACCATAGCTAGTAAAGTATTGTAATTGTCAGTTTTTAAAGAGTATATGGTGAAGGGTCATGAAAGAATAAATAAGAACAATCATAAAGGTACAGAAGATTACATTATACACTTCCCAGTATAGTTAAGTTTCACCATTCAATTGGTGTGACTTATTACTTCACACTGGCAATTTCCTTCATGGTGCACTTAACAGATTCAAGTTAGGAACTGCTAAATTTAAATGGTCCATTCCTTTGGCCATGAATTTCTTTTTTTATTTGGTGCAGAATTCTAACTTTCAGTTATTAACAAGTTCATTTGCATTACAGAAATACTCAGAATCTGATTACTCTATTGGTGTCCAGTCTTTATCTGTTCTTTCACCTCTCATAACTGTTCATTTTGAGTTTTAACACCATCACAACAAGGTGTATTTAATCAGAAGCAGCGTAATTCTGCATTTATTTGTTTTTTTGTTTTTCAGAGTCTGAATATTAAGTTAATATATAAGATATCTGGGTTTGTTTAATCTACCTCATTTATCCAGTAATCTGAATGTTTTGCCTGTTTCTCACTAGAAAACTCATATCCTTACCCAGCATTATACCTGTCAGGTCATGAGACTCTTCGAAGTTTCTCATAACACTGGAGAAAACATTGCTTCTTTCTGCCATTCTTCTTTCGTTGAGAAATCCTTTTCTTTCTATGTTTGAAATATCTTCTTATCCAGGATCTGAACTTTCTAAGTAATGCGATTTTTTTTTTTTTCTCTTCTCTGCATTTGAATGTTGATTAGACCAGTACTGATCAAGTATCTTATTGTTCTCAGGAGTGAAGTTAAGTCTTCCTACACATCTCTATTTTAAGGTATTCATGGATTAGCTAAATTGTGCATGACGTGTGTAACGTTTTTTGAAAGTAGAAAGGCTATATGTCAGTTTTATTTTTTGTTCCTATTTTATTTCTATATGATAATTGACATAATATTACATTAATTACGGGTATATAACGGTGATTCGATATTTATATACATTACATAATGGTCCCCATAGTAAGTCCTACTTACCATCTGTGACCATTTAAAGTTAATCTTATTGACCATACTCCCTACGCCTTACATCACTTCCCCATATCTTATTTATTTTTCATTTTATGGAAGATTGAACCTCTTAATCTCTTTTGTCCATCCCCATGTTCCCCTCCCCTCTAGCAACCTTGTTTGTTCTCTGTATTTGTGAATATGTTTGTTTTCCTTTTTAGTGAAATCATACTGTGTTTGTCTTTTTCTGTCTTCACGTAGCATAATACCCTCTAGGTCCATTCATCCATGTTGTTACAAATGGCAAGATTTCATTCTTTTTTTATTGCTGAGTGATAATACATTGTATGTATTTACTACATCTTGTTTGTCCATTCATCTGTTGATGGACATTCAGGTGGCTTCGTTATCATGGCTGTTGTAAATAATGCTTTGGTGAACATAGAGTGCATATGTCTTTTCAAGTTAGTGTTTTATTTTTCTTTGGATAAATACCTAGAAGTAGCATTGCTGAGTTGTATATAGCAGGTACATTTTTAATTTTTTGAGGAACCTTTATAAAGTTTGCATAGAGGTTGCACTAATTTTTATACCACTCAGCAGTGCATGAGGGTTCCCTTTCTCCACATCCTCACCAACACTTATTTCTTGTCTTTTTGATACTTGTCTTTTTGATTCTGACTGGAGGTGATATGTTATTGTGGTTTTGATTTACATTTCCCTGATGGTTAGTGATCTTGAGAATCTTTTCAGTTTTATGCCTTACTTGGAAAAATGTCTATTCAGGTCCTCTGCCCATTTTGTGACCAGATAATATTTTTTATTGAACTGTAATATCTGTTTCAGAATTTAGCAGTGGATTTACCTAGGTAATCTGTTCATAATTCTCCAAAATGTAATCTTTTATTTTTTACTTATGAAAAATCCTGGCTTTCCTTTAAATTTAATGTTTTCATTAATATGTAATGCATCATCTTTGACAGTTATATTCTCCTAGGGTACTTCAACCCTCATCTGTAATTTGTTTTATTAGCTCTTGAGTTTTGTAAAATTCAAGATAGTTGAAATTTGCTCTCTTAGAATTTGGTGTACAAATAGGTGTAGATGTTTAAAGAACCAGTCTTTCCCACATCGATGTTAATACTGGTGATGAAAAAATTGTATTTTAATGAATTATGAACTTTAAAAATGTAACTAGAATATAGTAAAGGTGCTGGTGCTTAGTTTTTCTTTTACTTATCTCATGAAGTTGTTGGAAATGTGATAATGCTCTTTAGCTGAAACTTCTTAACTTTCTAGTTGATAGTGTTGGCCCAAGGATTACAGAACAGGATTAGTTAGATTTCAGTAGTGTTTTATAGGGATATGGTGACCTCTCTTGCGTAATGATTTTATTTACTGTCTTTTTGAATTTTTCATTTTACCTTCACAACAACCCTATGAAGCCACAAAGGATATGTGTTACTTAAATGTACTTTCATGGGTAAAAGAGAATGTTACTATATATGTTTTGTCGGTGTGTGTCACACACACATATATAACATGAGAACTTTCATGTGGTTAAAATGTTAAGTCTGATTGATTGCTATATGTCAGGAGTTGGCAACTCAAGGATCATGTGCTTCCCTGTCATAGGAGATGATTTCGGAAGTCAAAGTCAGGTTACTACGGACAAAAAAAAATTGTGAATTAGATAAAGGTTATTTCTGCCCTACCACCACTTCTCTTATTCTTTCTGTTCTAACTCCCAGATCTTTTCTTTCCTGCTTATAGCTGCTAAAGTGTATGCCAATAGTATTTCAGGTGCCGTCCTTCCTGTGTTCTCACTTTTTTAAAAGATCCTTGAGATACTGAGATTAGCAGTGGAATTGATTGCCATTTCCGAATGCTGGTGCCTGGGGTAGGGAATGGAGAAGCTGTCCCGTCACTTCCCTCTCATGGTCTCCTGTGGAACAGATAGTTCCTGAGGATACTGACAGTGCTTCCACAGGTTCAGAGTCAAGCTACAGCTTGAGTCAGTTGCTACCAGAGTAAGTAAATGTAGATTGCGCCCAAAATTCTGGGTATAATTAGAATATTGAAAATAGGAGATAGACTATTTTACAAAAATAGGAAAAGGAAAATCTTACTTGCACTATGTATATGCTCTTTGTTTTAATAGTTGCCTGTGTCTGTGGTTGCTTTTAAGAGAGAGTTTTTGGCTTTTAGCTTTCCAAAATAGGGGTAACTTCATTAATGACATCACTGTTTGAAAAAAAATGTTTAAAAATTTCTGTTTTCTCTTTATCCTACTAGATGTGATGCTGACCCTTCAGCCTTAGCCAACTATGTTGTAGCACTGGTCAAGAAGGACAAACCTGAGAAAGAATTGAAAGCCTTTTGTGCTGATCAACTTGATGTCTTTTTACAAAAAGGTAATTATTGTGGGCCTTCAACCAAGTATTAAAGTAAAGATTTTAAATTTGAAGTTTCCTGATAAAATCTTGAAGATAGAAGCTTGAAAGGAAAAAATTCATCAGAGTCCTTTAAATACTTTAGTATGCCCATTCATGCTTAATAATTTATCATGTATTTTGGCAGAACTGTTTTTTTTTTCCCCTTTCCTTCTCTGCTGTTTTCCTATATTGAGGCAGTGTTAACTCATTCATGCTTTTCAGGTGAATGGATCCTTCTTGGCTTGTGATAGAGCCTAGTTGGTAACAATTTAAGGATAATGAAGTTGCTTATTTTTGCTATTTATTAGGACAGAGAAGCTGTTTTTTTCCCTCTTGTTGGGGCTTCTTGATAGTCAAGAAGAGATGGACATGATCTTCTCTTCGTGCCTTTAACTTCCCATATTGTTTACAGATTTCTTTCCATAGTCTACAGAGCTTGCTCCTCTGACCTCCCCTCCTACCACTCCCCCTCACTTGTTCCATTCGGGCCACACTGACCACCTTGCTGTTTGTACAACATGGCAAGCATGTTCTCAATTCAGGGTTTTTTGCACTCTCTTCACCCTTGCTTAAAACATGATTTCCTCTGTGATAGTTTCTGATCTCTCCTCAAATGTCATCCTCTCAGAGTAGTGTCCCTTGAGTGCCCTGTCTATATAAGGGTAGTGTACTCCATGTCCCTAGTCATTCCCTCTTCTTCCCAGCCTTGCTTTGTTTTTTTTCTTGGCACTTGTCGTTTCCTGACATGTTGTATGTTTGTGTGTGTGTCTCCCCACCTTGTTTGTCTTTCCCTTTGTTGAGAATGGAGGCTTGGCACTTACAGTGCTTGGCACATAGAAGATATTCAATAAATATTGTTGAATAGGTGAACAGAAATGTGGATAACACACACTTTGTGGTTTATTTGACAATTGGTGATGAGAAGATGTTCTTTAACTCAAATACCAATATCTACTGAGAAAGAAAAAATAGTAAATATGGTTTCTCAAAAAAGGATTACATACTTTTTTTGCGCATTTTAAGGCTTTTTATACAAAAAAATCGAACACAGAATTCCTACCCAGTAGAGAAGAGTATTTTCTTTTCTAAATGTATTAATTTTTTACCTGGTATACATTAAAGATGAGTCATGAAATGTAGCACCATGAGGAAGGTAAAGAAAAAAGGGAATCATAGCCAAGACATCTGGGGCAAGATCAAATGTATGTTTAGACATCTAAGAACTTCTTGTTATAAAAGTTATGAAGATTTTTAGTAACTTTTTAAAAATTACAAAAGCAGTACACATGAGGAAGAATTCTAAAACATTTTTAATTGGAGAAGAAAATAAACAGCCATTAATTTGCCACCAGAGATAAAATCACTGCTACCTACTTAGGTATGTCTTTAGACCAGCACTGTGCGGTGGGAGTGTGTGCAGAGGAGAGAGATGGTCCGTATCTGCCCTTCCAATTCAGTAGCTACCAGCCACTGTTGAGCACTTGAAATGTGGCTAATGTGATTTAGGAATTGATTTTTTAATTTTATTTAAATTAAATAGCCACATGTAGTTCTTGGCTACTATATTGGACATCACAGCTCTAGACTTAATGTATATGTTTGTATTTCATGTTAAAGTGGTTTTAAATGATTATACTCTTTTGTAATAATGCTTTTTAAAAAGAAACTTAATAGTGTATCTTGTTAGATGTTTAGATACACTCTTTTTCTTCATTGGGTTATGTTTTTTAAATTAGAAAAATATGTTTTAAAAAGTGTTTTAGAAATAGAAGCACATGAAAATTTTCTCATCATAACTGCTTTTGATTTGCCAATCAGTTTAACAGATTAATTTTATTAATTTGCCCTATCATTATTTAATAAACTTAAAAAGGGTTTTGTAGCAGTTAATAAGACCAAACAGTTATTTTTTTTTTTTGGTATAATTACTCTATAATTACATGAGGAACATTATGTTTACTAGACTCTCCCCATCACCAAGTCCCCCTCACAAACCCCATTACGGTCACGGTAAGATGCTGTAAAATCACTACTTGTCTTCTCTGTGTTGCACAGCTCTCCCCGTGCCCCCACACACACATTATACATGCTATTTGTAATGCCCCCTTTCTTTTTCACCCCCCTTATCCCTCTCTTCCCACCCATCCTCCCCAGTCCCTTTCCCTTTGGTAACTGTTAATCCATTCTTGGGTGAAATCATATGAGTGAAATCATTTGGTATTTGTCTTTCTCTGGTTTATTTCACTGAGCATAATACCCTCTAGCTCCATCCATGTTGTTGCAAATGGTAGGATTTGTTTTCTTATGGCTGAATAATATTCCATTGTGTATATGTACCATATCTTCTTTATCCATTCATCTACTGATGGACACTTAGGTTGATTCCATTTCTTGGCTATTGTAAATAGTGCCGCGATAAACATAGGGGTGCATCTGTCTTTTTCAATCTGGGCTGCTGCATTCTTAGGGTAAATTCCTAGAAGTGGAATTTCTATTTTGAGCTTTTTGAGGAACCTCCATACTGCTTTCCACAATGGTTCCTAACAGTTTTATAATCATGGAAAATGCTTACTAAACAAATTAATAACATAAAGAAGTTTATGAAAAGGTGCTTTTCTGAAGAAGAATTAATTTGACCTTTTAGAAATATCTGTTAATGTAAAATGTGTAATAATTGCAGTGTATGAGAGTCTGTGTTGTGTTTTTAATATGTTCTTGCTGTTCCTTAGGGCAGGACTAACAAAGTTACTTAAATTTGGTTTGAATAACATAATATAAATATTTTGACATTTGTATTTTTAATATATTCATCTGGTTCTCCCATTCAGTTAGTCTGAAAAGGTTACAAAATAGACCAACTAGAAATCATTCATATCATTCTCATGCCAAAGGTTTATTCAACAGATTTTTAAGTGTTTTTAATTAATTTTTTTGAGTAGGCAGTAAATTTAAATTTTTAATTAAAAATTTTCCCTTCCCACCTCTAGTATCCAACTTTGTGATTTTTGTGCATATCCTTTCAGATTTTTTATGCAAATACAAACATAAATATTTAGTTTTATATCTTTGAGATCTGATATTATTGGTACTCATTCTTTTTACTGCTGTTTATTCTCTTGTATGATTATCATATAATTTATTCAAATAGTCTTTTATTCATGGAAATTTGGGTTGTTTCCAGTCTTCTGCTATTATGTACTCAGGTAATCTTGCCCATGTATCATTTTTTACATGTGCAAGTATGTCCGAAAGATTTGAAAATCCAGAAGTGGAATTCTCCCCCATAAATGTTAGACCCATTTTTAATTCCACCAGCAGTTATGAGATGTCCCATTTTCCTCAGCTTTACCAGTAGTGTGTTGTCACTTTCTGTTTTTTGTTTGTGTTACATTTACTTAAACATTATTTCTTCTCCCTAGAAACTTCAGGTTTTGTGGATAAACTATTTGAAAGTCTCTATACTAAGAACTACCTTCCACCTTTGGAACCAGTTAAGCTCGAGCCAAAACCACCAGTCCAAGAAAAAGAAGAAATTAAAGAAGAGGTATGCAAAGTTTTCTTTTGCTTTGGGGGCTTCGTAGGTCCTATTACCAGTGTCATTGTTAGTTGGATGTTGACCTCATTAGAAGTAATTATAGATAGAAGCTTCTGGGTTTTGGGCATAGTACAGATTCTTTATCAGAGTTTCTTAGGTCCTTGGACTTGAAGAGTTGGAAGAATTTCAGGTAGCTTGTTTAGTATTCCAAGAAATATTTTAATAATACTGAGGAATTCAGAGAAATCTTTTCCAGTGATTTTTAAAAAAAGAAAACTTGGTTAAATACAGAGACGTGACTGCAAGTAAAGTATTGATGAACCTTAAGAGAAGTCATTAGGTCAACACATTTTAATGTAAATAAATAAACCATTTTCTGTTTTAACTATATAGAGTTTTTTAAATAGTTAATGTAATTATAAGCATCACCATCAACATAGGAAAGAAAAAGAATGTTTTTACAATGTTAAAATATAAATATGCGATTACAGATGGTAATCTAATTGTTTGAAACAAGAAGAGAATCTAAAGAATTCATTTGTAATTCTTTTTATGCATAGCAACATGCTATTATATGATAAGAATGAGTTCTGAAATCAAGCTGCATTAGTTAAAATGTAGCTCTAAAATAAACTTCATTTCATTTTCACATCTGCAAATGATAATCATACTAGTATTTACCTCATTGAGGATTGAATGAGATTTTACACACACACACACACACACACACACACACACACACACACACACACCGCCCCCACCCAGTGCCTGGGACACAAATGTTAGTAATTTTATGGGAAAAGTTCCCAATTTTTGTTTTTATTATAATTATTTAAGTTTTCTGGGAATAATTTTAAACTTACATAAAAATTACAAGAACCGTATAAGAAAACAGAAAAAAAAAGAACCATACCCAGAACACCCATACCGTCTATCTAGAGTCACCTATTGAAGATTTGCTTCATTTGCTCTCTTTATATATCCATACCCGGAACTATATTTTTCTGAACCATGTGGAGTAGTTGGACACATCAATACCATTGACCCCTAAATTCTCAGAGTGTATTTCATAAGAATAAGGATTTTCTTTTACATAATTATTATAGTGTTAATAGTTTTAGTTAATTTAACATTGATAAAAGAATCTATTGTCTGTATTCCCAGTTTTGTTAATCGATTCAACAGTGTTGCTTTTTTGTAGCATGTTTTCTCCCTCTGCAATACAGAATTCATTCTGTGATTCACATATTACATTTAGTTATCATTTCTGATATGTTTTAAAATGCCAGGCTGACTGAATTGATCCTACATTAAAAGAAAACAAGATGTGGCTATGGGTAATTAAGATCAATTGAGACCCCTATCACCTCTTGTTTTGGGCTCATGTTCTCCATGTGTCTCATGAAGTCTTTCTAAAATAAGAGAGGCTCCCAGTACGTTTTCTCAAGTAATGGAAATAGTTCTTGATGGTATATTATATTTGGTGTATGATACAGGTTAAATTTTTTATAGTAAGTTAAAATTTTTGCAGCCTGTGTCCTTTCTACAATGATTGAACATCAGTGGATTAGAAGTATGTTTGAAAGACAGCTAGTTTGAATTTAAAAGAAAAATGATATAATCTTGAGTTGAAAGAATAATTTTTAAAAATTGTACTATTTTACTTTGTGACTTTATTCTTTCAACTCAAGAATAATTTTTAAAAATTGTACTATTTTACTTTGTGACTTTGTAACCCTAATTTTGAAAATTGTGAAAAATAGATACTGGCTTCTGTGTATACCTATTCCAAATGATACTGCCTGGTATTGCTTCCATTTCTAAGACTTATGTGTAACCTAATTGTCATTACTGACACAAATAATAGGTCATGTAATAGTGTTTAAATGTTAATAGTTTATAGTAGTAATTATGTTTAGATAATGTTGAAGGAAGAGGTTTGAGGTGGTACATACCTTTGGCTAATTATCTATTTTTCTTGTCTGTGTCTGGTTGGTGCAGTTGTTGCTCTGAGCAGGGCAGAGGAGCAAATCCATCTAAGGACTAGCCATTTTAACTTTCTCCCTTGGTCCCAGGTACATTGCACCATCAGTTGTTGCACAGTTTGGACTATTGGTTACACAGAGAACAAGGGGAGAGAATTTAGATCATTGACACAACTCATTCTGGTACTGGAAAAACACTTGGTACATATGTACCATGATTTACAAAGCACAGTGTGTTTACAGATGGATAATTAGTTGTCAATTTGTGTAGTTTTAATGGACTCTTTTTAGGCCCTTGAAAAAGAACAATCCACGAAGATAACAGATCTTTGATATTACAATTCCTTGTTCATACTATACCTTAAGCATCTGAAATGTTAGAAGGTAGTTTTTCTTACATCCAGTGCATGGATTTATAACTAGAAGAATGAGACCTTCTGGCACAGTTCCACCACACCTTTGGTTGGTCTGAAAATATCTTTATTTTTTTAAAAGCCTATTATAGAGAATTTTCAACATCAGAAGGAGACAGAATAATACAATGAATTCTTATTTATTATCACCCAGCCTCAGCAACCCATCATCCCATGGCCAATTCTGCCCCATCCACATACCTGTTACCTGTTCACTTTTATATCTAAAATGGTCCAGTAGAATGCAGTCTCTCAGACTTATGTAGCCGTGATAGTCCGACATAATAAATAATGAAAACTTCTTTATTATGTGTGTAGTGGTCTGACTTCAAGTCATGTGGCAACATAGAGGAAAAACTTAAAATTGGCATGCCTGATCACAATCTGATCTATTAAGAAGTCTACGTTTCTTAGTCTTATAATAGGATGAAAGTGGGTAAGAGGTTTTGGTGAATGACGTCTTCATATATATTACTAATTTAAGAAATAAGGCAATATAATGTCATATAACTTATTTCAGAATAAGTTTAAAGTAATTGTGGAAAAATATATCATTGCCATAGGAAGTTCTAAAAAATATATTTAAAATAGAAAAGAATGCAGATTATTTTTGTTTAACTCAAGCCAAAATAATATGATGAACCCCCATGTACCCACATTCAGCTTCAATGGCTACAGATCCATGAGCGAGCAGTCTTCTTTGCACCTTCAACCACTTTCCATCCTCTTAAGTTATTTTGAAATAAATGCCAGGCATCGTATCATTTCATTTATAAATACTTAGTATGTATCTCTAGAAGGTAGTATTTTTAAAACCCCATAATAGTTATTTCATATATAAAAATAACAACTCCTTAATATCATCAGATACCCTGTTGGTGTTTAAATTTCTAATTATTCATAAATATACAATTATATCTCATTCGTTTGAGTCAATATCCAAATCAAGTTGGTTAAAATATCTTTTTTCCTTTTTAATTCCCTTTTCCGTATTCTCTCTCACCAGAGTAACTACTACTCTTTTAATACTATGTACTAGTTTCTCCTCTTTTTTCCATTATGTGTAAAGAGAATCCTACAGTCTTTTGTGTAGCTTCTTTAGCTCATTTTAATGTGACATTTATCCTTGTACATGCCCTTTCACTTTTTTTGAACAACTTTATTGAGATAATTTACCTGCCATACAATTTACCTATTTAACGTGTATAAACGCTTTGGTTTTTATTATATTCACAGTTTCGCAACCATCACCACGATCCATTTTAGAACATTTTCATCATCCAAAAAAGAAACCCTGTACTCATCAAGCCGTCACCCTCCAAGCTTTCCCGCTCCCGGCCCTAGTCAGCCACTAATCTACTTTCTCTATGGGTTTGTGTATTGGACATTTCATAAAATGGAATTATATAGTGTGTAGTCTTTTGTGACAGGCTTCTTTCACTTAGCATCATACTTTCAAGGTTCATGTAGGTTGTATCAGTACTTCTTTTTTTAGTGGCTGAATAATCCATTTGGGTGGATGTATCACATTTTCTTTATCCAGTTATCAGTTGATGGATATTGGGGTCGATAGCCAAGTGGCTAATACCTTTTGACTATTATGAGTAATTCTGCTGTGAACATGCACAAGTTTTTGTGTGGCCTTGTTTTTATTTCTCTTGGATCCTTTGAAATTTTTTTAAGAGTAATTTCCCATTAGAAATCAATACATGTCCATCAAAAAAACCCTTGGAAAATATAGAAAAGCAAAAAGAAGTTGATCTCTAAGTTATGTCTTTTTTAAGTCTTTTAATATTTAAATCTCTCCATCCTACCTACCTTTGTATGTCTCTTGCTCTTCTTTTCCTTAACCCCCCTTTATCCCTTAAATTTTATTACTTGAAGAAGCTCAGTTATTTGTCCTTTTAGGTCTTTTTACACTCTGGGTTTTCCTGATTGCATCCCAGGGGGGTAATATACTCTCTGTATTTCCTGTAAATTGGTGAATGATTTTTAAATACAATCTAGTGACTGTATAGTGTTTTTGCCAGCACCATATGGTTGTCTGAAAATATCTTTATTTTTTTAAAAGCCTATTATAGAGAATTTTCAACATCAGAAGGAGACAGAATAATACAATGAATTCTTATTTATTATCACCCAGCCTCAGCAACCCATCATCCCATGGCCAATTCTGCCCCATCCACATACCTGTTACCTGTTCACTTTTATATCTAAAATGGTCCAGTAGAATGCAGTCTCTCAGACTTATGTAGCCGTGATAGTCCGACATAATAAATAATGAAAACTTCTTTATTATGTGTGTAGTGGTCTGACTTCAAGTCATGTGGCAACATAGAGGAAAAACTTAAAATTGGCATGCCTGATCACAATCTGATCTATTAAGAAGTCTACGTTTCTTAGTCTTATAATAGGATGAAAGTGGGTAAGAGGTTTTGGTGAATGACGTCTTCATATATATTACTAATTTAAGAAATAAGGCAATATAATGTCATATAACTTATTTCAGAATAAGTTTAAAGTAATTGTGGAAAAATATATCATTGCCATAGGAAGTTCTAAAAAATATATTTAAAATAGAAAAGAATGCAGATTATTTTTGTTTAACTCAAGCCAAAATAATATGATGAACCCCCATGTACCCACATTCAGCTTCAATGGCTACAGATCCATGAGCGAGCAGTCTTCTTTGCACCTTCAACCACTTTCCATCCTCTTAAGTTATTTTGAAATAAATGCCAGGCATCGTATCATTTCATTTATAAATACTTAGTATGTATCTCTAGAAGGTAGTATTTTTAAAACCCCATAATAGTTATTTCATATATAAAAATAACAACTCCTTAATATCATCAGATACCCTGTTGGTGTTTAAATTTCTAATTATTCATAAATATACAATTATATCTCATTCGTTTGAGTCAATATCCAAATCAAGTTGGTTAAAATATCTTTTTTCCTTTTTAATTCCCTTTTCCGTATTCTCTCTCACCAGAGTAACTACTACTCTTTTAATACTATGTACTAGTTTCTCCTCTTTTTTCCATTATGTGTAAAGAGAATCCTACAGTCTTTTGTGTAGCTTCTTTAGCTCATTTTAATGTGACATTTATCCTTGTACATGCCCTTTCACTTTTTTTGAACAACTTTATTGAGATAATTTACCTGCCATACAATTTACCTATTTAACGTGTATAAACGCTTTGGTTTTTATTATATTCACAGTTTCGCAACCATCACCACGATCCATTTTAGAACATTTTCATCATCCAAAAAAGAAACCCTGTACTCATCAAGCCGTCACCCTCCAAGCTTTCCCGCTCCCGGCCCTAGTCAGCCACTAATCTACTTTCTCTATGGGTTTGTGTATTGGACATTTCATAAAATGGAATTATATAGTGTGTAGTCTTTTGTGACAGGCTTCTTTCACTTAGCATCATACTTTCAAGGTTCATGTAGGTTGTATCAGTACTTCTTTTTTTAGTGGCTGAATAATCCATTTGGGTGGATGTATCACATTTTCTTTATCCAGTTATCAGTTGATGGATATTGGGGTCGATAGCCAAGTGGCTAATACCTTTTGACTATTATGAGTAATTCTGCTGTGAACATGCACAAGTTTTTGTGTGGCCTTGTTTTTATTTCTCTTGGATCCTTTGAAATTTTTTTAAGAGTAATTTCCCATTAGAAATCAATACATGTCCATCAAAAAAACCCTTGGAAAATATAGAAAAGCAAAAAGAAGTTGATCTCTAAGTTATGTCTTTTTTAAGTCTTTTAATATTTAAATCTCTCCATCCTACCTACCTTTGTATGTCTCTTGCTCTTCTTTTCCTTAACCCCCCTTTATCCCTTAAATTTTATTACTTGAAGAAGCTCAGTTATTTGTCCTTTTAGGTCTTTTTACACTCTGGGTTTTCCTGATTGCATCCCAGGGGGGTAATATACTCTCTGTATTTCCTGTAAATTGGTGAATGATTTTTAAATACAATCTAGTGACTGTATAGTGTTTTTGCCAGCACCATATGGTTGCCATATTGTGGCTGTCATTTATGTTGCCTGAGTCTTACTAAATTGTTATGTCTTGCTCCATTCACTCATTCCCAGGTTTGGCTAATTCTAAGGGAGTTTCTCCATTAGATGGGCACTTGCAAATGACTTTATTTCACCTTTTTCTAGTAAAAGCTGTATGTTTTGAGATGAACTTCTGTTTAAAAACAATAATAAAATCACCGGTTCTCTATTTCTGGTCAACTTTGACTGTTTGGCTTTAAAAGAAGCTTAACATTTCCAGTAATTCCAGTGCGAGTTTTCTAATGAAATAGTTTTGTATAGCATTTGGTAACCATTTGTGCCTGAAACCTTGTCTATGAAATAAATCTGTAGTCCTCACCAAATGAATTACAGGTGTGAATATATTTTATAATTAGGGAAACAAAAACCATTTACTATACGATACTTAGAAATAGACATTTTCTATTTCTGCTCTTTCAACTGAAAGAATGAATTGCTGTTTTTCTCCTACACTCCTATTATCTACCTTAAATTAACATTTAAAGATTAACATATTGCCGTTAGATTAATTTCAGCATCTCTTTTCTCCCTATTTCTTGACTTTTTTGGTTGTGATTTGACTTCAGTATTTCAGTACATTTATTTATGCCTTCTCAGACCAGAAAGATTATTAGGTGGCTGTTTCATAATTTACAGAAGAACTGTTCTTTCTAATTAATGTTTTCATATAGGTATTTCAGGAGCCAGCAGAGGAAGAACGAGATGGCAGAAAAAAGAAATATCCTAGTCCCCAGAAGACTCGTTCAGAATCTAGTGAACGAAGGTTTGTGTTTACCTTTAATTAGGAAGACATTGATAATTCACTTTTTAGTTAACTTATAAGGACATTAAAGGGATTTTTAACACGTTCATTGACTCCTCTCTCTCTAAACTGATTAAAAAATGAGAATTTTACCTTTCTTCCTTCCATTCTGTTTTTTTTTGTCTTTGTCATAGTTTCTCTTCTTTTATAAACAATTCTCATTATGTGGTTTCCCCAAGAGCTCAAGGGTGGGAGCAGCCTCCTTAGAGAATATTAATGAAATGTTCCATTTGGTTAGGGGTGCTCAGTATGAAAATCATCCACAGCATTTTATACTGTAAGTAATAGTACAATTTATATGTCAAATCATCAGCCTACCATCAAAAATTTAGTCTGTTTTGGAAACATTGTTTTGAGCTCTTTTTCTTTTCTAGTTTTAAATTTGTTTTCCTCCCATGCCTCCCTGTACTTTGGACTCACCTTTTTTTTTTTCAATCTTCCCCACCCAGTGTACTTGAGGGAATGCTTTTTCATTTTATATAATGGATTAGAGGAATTATGTGGTAGTCTTATGGCTTTCTAAAAAAAGCATAGACATTATGAATTGTGGTGAATCAAGGGGTTATTTTGTACTACTGATTTGTTTGCAGACTTGGCTTCTGTAGCATCCATATGGCTTTTATATCTGTGTATTATAGGACACGTGAGAAAAAAAGAGAGGATGGCAAATGGAGAGACTATGACCGGTACTATGAACGGAATGAACTGTACCGTGAGAAGTACGACTGGAGAAGAGGCAGGAGTAAGAGCCGGAGTAAGAGCCGCGGCCTGAGTCGGAGTAGAAGCCGAAGTAGAGGGCGCAGCAAAGACCGAGATCCAAACAGGAATGTTGGTGAGTAAGTGAGGCTTCCCCCTGAAATTTCTACAGTTTTATCTTCCTATATCACAAGGGTACCAGAACGTCGCTTAAAGGTAAATGTACTTTTAATATGTATAAGCAGTGTAAGATCTATAATTATCTTGAAAAGCTTAATGTTGATTTTGTTACAAAGATAAGGTCTCTGTTCTCAGGATGGAGTCAAAGGAGTTTGACTAAAAAAGAAGCTATTCATAAGTATATCATAGTACATGTCTAGACTTAAGTCATTTATGTAATTGAAGTAAATGTCCTTTAACCAACAAAGCTATCACTGGAGGAAGAGGATTACCTGCTCCCTTCCCCACCCAGTAATTCAAATAATAATTGAAATAATTCAATTACTGTTTCAGTATTAATAGAATCATTTAAAATTTAAATAATATTTAAAATAATTCAGATATTTCAAATAATAATTGAAATTAATCATTTCAGTAATTCAGTAGAAATATTTGAAATATTTTCCGTTTAAAATAATTTGCTTTAAAGTTGCCTAGAGTTTACAACACTGAAAGAAAAAATTTGAGTAGATTACTGTGATTCCAATCCACTGATCTGGGATATCAGTTTGGAAGTCAATTCTTGGATAACATTCTTACTAAATATCAGTGGAGAAGCTGGTCTTTATTATATGTTAATGTTGATGTTATAAAAGATGATTTTATACAAGTTACTGGAGGATGTATTAATATTGAGAGTACTTTGAAATACGGGTATTTCAAATATCTCAGAAAGTTTACTTCAGTATTCTCAGCTTTACTTTTTTTTGTAAATGAGAAGAAAAGCATGAATGTCTGATCTCATTTGTTTCTTCTTGTTATTTTGTCTCTAAAGCAGAACACAGGGAAAGATCAAAGTTTAAGAGCGAAAGGAATGATTTGGAGAGTTCCTATGTGCCTGTTTCTGCACCACCTCCAAACTCTTCTGAGCAGTATTCCTCTGGGGCCCAGTCTATTCCCAGCACTGTCACTGTGATCGCACCTGCTCACCACTCTGAAAACACAACAGAGAGCTGGTCTAATTACTACAACAATCACAGCTCTTCCAACTCCTTTGGTCGAAACCCACCACCAAAGAGGCGATGCAGAGATTACGATGGTAAAAATTCTTTTCTTTCTGATGTTGTACCCAAAAGTACTAATAAAGCAAATATTACTAATATTGCACACCTCTCCATTATATAGTCCACATTTTGTTAAAAGGGATGAATGAGGAGGAGAATCTCTCTTGGCATATGTTTATTGTTTGGTTTAATAGTTCAGCTTTAGTTAAGAGAATTGTAATTTCTCTGTGATGTTTGGTGCTGGGAATTTGTTAAGCCTGTATAACCTGCTTATAATGTTAATTTGTTGATTTTCCACTTGAATGACCCAATATGTATATGTGTATTTTAATGTTTCATTATTGAATTATTTAAACATTTATAAAGCTTGATAATATAATTAATCCTAGTTATTCATGACCACACATCAATAATTTTCAACTCTGGGCAATCTTGTTCTCATCTATACTCTCACCAATTCTCCTTGGTCTCTATTATTTGAAGCAAATGACGGATATCCTAACTTTCCCTATAAATATAGAATTTATGTCTTTACATTTGATTTATTGTTAAGGGAATAGAATCACGTCATAATTCAAAGGTTACCTTGCTCTCACCCTGGTCTGCCAGCCACATACTATCTCCTTCCTGAGGCCAATTTAATGTTACCAGTTTCTTGTGTAACTTTCCAAACATAGCCTAGTACATAATAAACATAATCAGATAAATATATTCCCCATTTTATTTTTTATATAAGTGCTAGTATACTATCCAGTCTCTTGCATGTTTTTTTCAATTAGCACTATTTTTAGCAGTCATTCTATATTAATACATAATGAGCTTCCTCGATATTATTTTAGGTTAGATGTACAAAAGTGTGTTTAACCTATTCCTTCTTGAAGCACTTTTGAGGTGTTTGTAATATTTTGCTGTTACAAACTGCTGCAGTGAATAACATGGTACATAATGCCCACTTGAATAAACTAAAGCTTCAACTTGTAGATGCAGCAAGAATTGTTGCTATAGAATAATATTGTGAAAGTATACAGCTAAAATTAGATCATCTAGTCCAAGTCCTTTATTTCCCCCATAGCCTTTGCTAAATTGATATTTGCTTAAAATACCTGAGTTTTTATTGTGAAAACTTAACAGCAAATGGGTTATTCTGATAGTGGCTAGTAGCCTGTTTTTAACCCTACTATTTGCCATGTCAACAAAGCGTAATCTCATGGTATAGAAAGTAGAGAGTACACCTGCCCCTACTTTAGGGATACGTGATGATTATAACAACACTAAGGCTTTAGACTGGTTGGAGAAAAAACACTTTGTAAATCAGATTGGTGGGTTTTTCAAGGACTTGTTTTGTTTGTTTACTGAGTAGGTCATAACAGGATGATTCTTCTATTCTTACAGAAAGAGGATTTTGTGTACTTGGTGACCTTTGTCAGTTTGATCATGGAAATGATCCCTTGGTTGTTGATGAAGTTGCTTTGCCAAGCATGATTCCTTTCCCACCGCCTCCTCCCGGGCTTCCTCCCCCCCCACCTCCTGGAATGTTAATGCCTCCAATGCCAGGCCCAGGTCCAGGCCCAGGTCCAGGTCCAGGCCCAGGTCCTGGCCATGGTATGAGACTTCCTGTTCCACAAGGACACGGCCAGCCTCCTCCTTCTGTTGTGCTTCCCATACCAAGTAAGTATATGTTCGTAGGGTATTTCTTTAGGGAAGAACTCATCTAGAAGAACCAATCCTTTTTAGCTGACTTGGCATTAAAGTTTTTGAAAGCTAAATATAATAATGGAATTTGGAATATATGCCCATTATTAAGATGCTGTTCTTTCCTTTTTTTCATCCATTGTTTCATTAGTTGTTGTGCCTCCAAATGTAAATTTTATGAATACTGGCCTAATCTCTATTGGCCTGGAGTCAAAATCTTGTTAGTTGAAAGCATCTTAAGAAAGCCAGTGTTTTGAGAATGTTAGAAGAACATGCCAGTGGTTTTAATGCAATTGCCAGTTTTTAAAGAAGGTCTCTTCAAGAATATTGAAATAATTTTTCAAACCTTTTATTATGGAAATTTTCAGGTATACACAGAGGTAGAGTAATGATATATATATAACATGTGTACCATCATCCAACCTAAGGGGTCATCGGTATTCAGTTGTTTTTGTTGGTTTTGGTGGTGGTGTTTTTTTTTTTAAATAATGAACAATATGCTATTACTGCATCTATCAAAATTAAGAGTAAGAAATGTTTAAAATGATCATTTAAAAAGCCTTAACAGTTGCTGGGTTAGCTGACACAGAAGTAAGACTGAATTTTTTTTATGCAGTTGAAGTGGTGAACAGTTCATAGATGTACCAAGATACAAGAAAATACCTACTTGAAGACATTTAACATTGTTGAGTGATGGCAAATTGTTGTTTTTAAGAGAAGATTATCATTCAGTTTATGTAAATGGTACTCAGTTTTCTTTTTTTTAACTTTTATTTTTGAAATTAGAGACTCACAAGAAGTAGCAAAAATAGTTCAGCATTATCCTGTGTATCCATCACCTAGCTTTCCTGCAGTAGAACATAATTCATTAAAGTTGAAAAAGGGTTGGAGACATTTAACACATATATTTGGTCAATAGAAATATGGTTCTTCTAATAGCATTTGTGAATATTCAGTATTGTCACATAACACTATAATTGTGAAGTTGAAATTTTATTCCCCAGATAAAACATCTTCATATATAAAAATTCTTATAATAAAAAATACCTCAATGTGGAAACATCTGTTTAAAAGTTAAATCCCAGAATGTCATTTTATCCCAGCATTTTTTGCAATGCAAAAATTTCAAGTGAACAGGAGAGTTGAAAGAATTGTGCAATGAACACCCACATACTTACTATCTAGGTTCTGCCTTTTACTATATTTGTACAATCACATATCTTTTTGTCTCTCCTTTATTATTTTTGGCGCATTTTATAGTCATTGCAGACATCAGTACACACACTTAAATAAATTCATCATTGACTGAAAAATTTTGTAGAACTTCATCACCCCCAGAAAGTTTGTTCAAGTCCCTTTCCTGCCATTTTCCCCTCCCACCCACAGAAGCAACCAATTCTGCTTTTTTCCATTGGAGATTAGTTTTTGTCTGTCCTAGAACCAAAATATCATTTTAATACTGCAACTCACAGTGCCTAAGCTTGTGTATATCAGATTTCTTCTGTTCCAGGCCAAAGTAGGCATTTTAAGTATCAGTATCTATAAATTAGCACTGGTATGTTAAGTATTTTTATTAGGAAACATTAATACGCTACCTTGCACTTTGTGTTACCTCTAGGGCCACCCATAACACAGTCAAGCCTGATAAACAGTCGTGACCAGCCTGGGACAAGTGCGGTGCCCAATCTTGCACCAGTGGGGGCAAGACTACCTCCTCCTATACCCCAGAACCTCCTTTATACAGTATCAGAGCGTAAGTAAACGTTGTTTGACTTAAAATTGCTAGGGTATAGAAAAGCCAGGTTTCAGTGTTACACTTCTAAAAATATAATTTCTGTTCTTGTGGCCCATATAAAAATTATATTTATATTCATAAGGCAGTTTACTGTGTGGTTATAGTATATGGCTGTCTTGTGAGATGATGGGAGACAAGGCCAAGGCCTTCTGAATTGCAGACGTCTATCCTGCCATAGAGTACCAACCTTTGTTGTCTTGTAAAGGAAATTTATTTTGAAGCTTCTTTTCAAAAATTGTTCCTCTGATTTAATTTCTAAAATGTAAGGCTTATCATCTCCTAAGAATATACGAAAGGCTGGATGAAATGTGTGTAATTATTATTTAACTTGGATGCTGACATGACGATAGCACCAAACTAATGTTGAGTGGCCAGGCTGTTTGTAACATTTTATGTTTAACTGCAATGATGTATTTTTCTTGAATCCTAATGGTTTTTTATTGCTTATGTGTCTTTGTTGTTTTTAGGTAACTAAAGCCTTTTAAAAATTCCATTCTCCAAAAACAAAAATAAGGCAGTTGGTTGTTAAAAATATCATAACGTAATATTTTTTTATACAGAGCTAGATAACTTTATGGATAAATTCATCTTTTATGTAACTGTTTATTGTAACCATTTCTTCATTTCTGTCATGTCATGGAGAGACAGTTCAGCAAATAATTATGTCCAGGTTCAAATCCTAGTTCCATCACTTAACATCATTGTGAAATTGGGCAAGACCTTGTATCTCAGTTTCCTCTTCTGTACTATGGAAATAATAATGTTACTCATCTCATTAAGGTTCTTTGAGGAATAAATGAATGAATACATATAAAGTATCTAGAACAGTACCTGGCATCTAGTAAGGTATATATAAAGATCAGTTATCACGATATTGTAGTTGTTATTATCTCCTTCAATTTGAACCTCTTTGAAATCCATCCTGTTATCTTCAGGTCTCTACCTCCACCATCCTTCTCTTTCTCTGTCAGTGGAAATAACACCCACTTACTCACCTTGAATTGAATCCTTGACATGACTTACTGCTTTGCTTTTTTATATCTAGTTTAAAAATCCTTTCTTTTTCTTCAAATTATTCTTTTCCCTGTTCCTGCTGTGGCTTCTGCCCTCATCCACACTTCAGTCACCTCACATTTGGATTCTTGCTGTAATCTTGACTGCGTTGTTTCACCATGCACACCTTCCCCCACCCACCTAAACCATAGATGAACCCCTCTTTATGGCTTCTAACTCTTTCTGTAATCTCTTCTTCCCTTCTTAGTGATGTTTTTCCACTATTACCCATATGATTCTTCTCTGATCAGACCGATTGTACCTTGTCTGTACCTATGTCATGGCTCAACTTTCTTTTCCTATCTTTACTTCTAGTAATATGCCCTCTCCTTTTCTTTCAAGCTCCAGATCTTCTAAGTACATATGAATATGAGTGCTCTATTCTGTGCTACCAAGAAGTATTTATTACACAATAACAAGTAATTGTATAAAGGACTAGTTTGATTTCTTTTCTCAACCAATTCTGCTTTTTTCCATTGGAGATTAGTTTTTGTCTGTCCTAGAACCAAAATATCATTTTAATACTGCAACTCACAGTGCCTAAGCTTGTGTATATCAGATTTCTTCTGTTCCAGGCCAAAGTAGGCATTTTAAGTATCAGTATCTATAAATTAGCACTGGTATGTTAAGTATTTTTATTAGGAAACATTAATACGCTACCTTGCACTTTGTGTTACCTCTAGGGCCACCCATAACACAGTCAAGCCTGATAAACAGTCGTGACCAGCCTGGGACAAGTGCGGTGCCCAATCTTGCACCAGTGGGGGCAAGACTACCTCCTCCTATACCCCAGAACCTCCTTTATACAGTATCAGAGCGTAAGTAAACGTTGTTTGACTTAAAATTGCTAGGGTATAGAAAAGCCAGGTTTCAGTGTTACACTTCTAAAAATATAATTTCTGTTCTTGTGGCCCATATAAAAATTATATTTATATTCATAAGGCAGTTTACTGTGTGGTTATAGTATATGGCTGTCTTGTGAGATGATGGGAGACAAGGCCAAGGCCTTCTGAATTGCAGACGTCTATCCTGCCATAGAGTACCAACCTTTGTTGTCTTGTAAAGGAAATTTATTTTGAAGCTTCTTTTCAAAAATTGTTCCTCTGATTTAATTTCTAAAATGTAAGGCTTATCATCTCCTAAGAATATACGAAAGGCTGGATGAAATGTGTGTAATTATTATTTAACTTGGATGCTGACATGACGATAGCACCAAACTAATGTTGAGTGGCCAGGCTGTTTGTAACATTTTATGTTTAACTGCAATGATGTATTTTTCTTGAATCCTAATGGTTTTTTATTGCTTATGTGTCTTTGTTGTTTTTAGGTAACTAAAGCCTTTTAAAAATTCCATTCTCCAAAAACAAAAATAAGGCAGTTGGTTGTTAAAAATATCATAACGTAATATTTTTTTATACAGAGCTAGATAACTTTATGGATAAATTCATCTTTTATGTAACTGTTTATTGTAACCATTTCTTCATTTCTGTCATGTCATGGAGAGACAGTTCAGCAAATAATTATGTCCAGGTTCAAATCCTAGTTCCATCACTTAACATCATTGTGAAATTGGGCAAGACCTTGTATCTCAGTTTCCTCTTCTGTACTATGGAAATAATAATGTTACTCATCTCATTAAGGTTCTTTGAGGAATAAATGAATGAATACATATAAAGTATCTAGAACAGTACCTGGCATCTAGTAAGGTATATATAAAGATCAGTTATCACGATATTGTAGTTGTTATTATCTCCTTCAATTTGAACCTCTTTGAAATCCATCCTGTTATCTTCAGGTCTCTACCTCCACCATCCTTCTCTTTCTCTGTCAGTGGAAATAACACCCACTTACTCACCTTGAATTGAATCCTTGACATGACTTACTGCTTTGCTTTTTTATATCTAGTTTAAAAATCCTTTCTTTTTCTTCAAATTATTCTTTTCCCTGTTCCTGCTGTGGCTTCTGCCCTCATCCACACTTCAGTCACCTCACATTTGGATTCTTGCTGTAATCTTGACTGCGTTGTTTCACCATGCACACCTTCCCCCACCCACCTAAACCATAGATGAACCCCTCTTTATGGCTTCTAACTCTTTCTGTAATCTATTCTTCCCTTCTTAGTGATGTTTTTCCACTATTACCCATATGATTCTTCTCTGATCAGACCGATTGTACCTTGTCTGTACCTATGTCATGGCTCAACTTTCTTTTCCTATCTTTACTTCTAGTAATATGCCCTCTCCTTTTCTTTCAAGCTCCAGATCTTCTAAGTACATATGAATATGAGTGCTCTATTCTGTGCTACCAAGAAGTATTTATTACACAATAACAAGTAATTGTATAAAGGACTAGTTTGATTTCTTTTCATTTATGTCACTCTTATGTTCAGCTGATCTTCAGAACCACATCTTAAAATCTCAGTCTTCTAATTAATAGTGTCTTTTTATAGTGCATCTTTGTTTCAAAGCTTCTCTCATTTTTTAATTATGGGAAATTTCAGACATAAATAGAAAAGGAAGTATAATAAACTTGCATGTACCCATCACCACCAAGCTTCAACATTTATCAGTCCTGTTGCATCTATCCCCCTGAATCTGTTCTTCACATTATTTCTTAATGACTTGGAACTTAAAAATATGAAAGTGGATTATTTATCTCAGAGTCCATTGCAGATGGCACGTTTTCATATTGTCAAATTTAGCATTGTGACTCATAATTCCATTTTTTTTAATTTTTAAAAATTTGGCAGTTATTTTAATATTAAATTTTACAGTACAATTTCACTTCATAAAAATTTCATTGATTTTAATTTTAAAAAGTCTGGCAGTTACTGTTTATTTCAGTGACATAGTTTAATATTCATTAATTCAGCAAATACGTAACTGAGTGCCTGCTATGTGCCAGGCTTTGTGCTACAGACTACAGGAAGCAAAGTTGAACAAGATATTTGACCTCATTACTTGAAGACTATTTTTCTGTTGTTGTTAAGGCAAGAATATTTTGTGGTATGTAGAAAAGGCCTTTTAGAACAGAATTCCAAACCTCTGTTTTTCAGAAGCTGGTAACATTCTAGGAAAATTTTTGAGGGCCAATACACATAGCTTCTTTTCTTGCTATGTTAAAAGACTACATATGAAAACATTGAATATCATTTCAATTTTTAAAATACGTTTTTCACCAAAGAAAGATTGTCAAAATACAGGACTTCCTTTTGTATTTGTATGTATGAAATATCAATTACATTTTTTGTTCCATATTTGTCACAGACTAATAAAAGGCTATGTAACTTCTTATAGGCATTTGTGGATTAGTGCTTAGAGGAAAGTCTTATATGCTGTGTCAGTGTTTATAAAGAGATTTAGTTGGTTGGTAACTGAATATTTTGAAAGTTACAGATTATATCGGGTATTTTAAAACTCTACTATGTAAACTACTTTCTTCCTTTCTTGAGTTAAAACTTAATTCTGAAATTCTGGAGAAATTTGAAAACCTAGGAGATAGTCCTGATAGAAATCTAAATAGTAAAAATTTTTTGGTGCAGTACAGTTTGTCAGGTAAAATTTTTTTTTTATCTTGTCTAAAAATACGTGTTTTTTTTTAGGTTGCCCTTGAGACACAAGTTGAATCGTTCAAATTGTTTGGGTTTACTTTGCTAAGTACTGTAATTGATAACTTAAAAAGAATTAGAACTGCTTCACTTGAAGTAAAAAACTATATGTGTGTTTGCAATGTAATATAGAAAACTTGAGCTATCCTCAAAGTTTAACAAATTGGGAAAGTTTAAATTATGGATATTTTATTGTTGTTAAGATTATCATTAAAATTCACAGCATAGGAACTGCTTATAAGTGAAAAAGAGCATATCAGTGGTATTTAGTCGTGAAAATTTTGTCAGGGGCTCAAAACAAAAATGAAATCTGCACTTTAGAAGGTTGAATAGGAGTCTGCATAATGCTAGGGACGGAGTATACAGATGCGTAAGAAATGATTCTTCTAAAGCTAAAAAGCTAATAGTAGGAAGGATATGTAAAAAAGAAACCACAAAAACCAATTACAGTGTGTTTTGCTGTTACAATTAAATGAACAGAGTGCCTCAGAAACACAAGCGACAAAGCAACTAATTCTGCCAAAAATAAAGCAGGCTTCATCTATTCTGTAATTATCACTTGTTTTGGAAGAGGACAAATGAATGCTGAAAGAAAAGAGTTACCCCACTGTAAAACGGAGTGGGTTGTCTGTGGTTCCTGGTAGTGCTATTTAAAAGTCAATGTCGGATAGTAACTGCACTAGTTGGGGTGAGGATTTAACTATATAGGTAACTGTTGAATCACTGTTTTGTATACTTGAAACCAGTATAAGATTGTATATCAACTATACTTCAATTTTTAAAAAGTTGATTAAGTCAAATGGTCATAGTTTGGAAAACCATTGAAATTTTGTTTTGGTTGAGTTAAAATGACATGGATACTCTGAAAAGGACTTAAATGATGAGGTGTGATTGGAATTGTGTGGAAAGACAGCAGTATCATCTATTAAAATCAACTGTTTTATTTCCTCTGTTGTACTTAAACATTTTACCCAAATTTGAAGTCTACCAATTCAATATGGGGTTTTTTTTTTCTTGTTTTCACAAAACCATTTTAAAGTGTACTTCCCTTTTCTGCCATAAATTTGGTCTGTTTCTTCTGATTCTTTGAAGAAGTCATAATAGAAATGTTTTAAAAGTGCTAAATAGGCTCACTGTACTGGGTGTGTGAAAAAGTAGTATTAGAACATGCCATCCTGGATTCTAGAGACTGATTCTGAGGTTGAAGGCATGTGTGTCAATCTTAAGATGAATTTACATAAATCATCTTTATCTTTCTGCAAATAACTTCTACTTTCAGCTGTGCAAAATTAATAAGACACTATATTTTAGGAAAACTTGAGATTCCTCATTTCATTCTGTAGAATGCATAACATTCCTCTGTGCAGAAACATGGATTTTGATGTTCACAAAAGTGAGTCTCCTAGAGTCATTGTATATTTCTAGAGTTTATCTCCGTTTGTGTTTTGCTTGGATTTGTGTTGCCGTGGTTGTCTGTCATACTGCCTATGGAACACGTAGATACTCATCTACAGAAATACTTAATTGTCTCCAGGATACTTTAAATAAATAAGCTTTAATCCCTATAAGTGACTCTTAATTGAGTTCCTACTATGTGCCAGGCACAACATTTAGGCCCTGAAACTTTAGAAGGTGTGCCAGGGACCTTGGATTCTCCTAGAGAAGACAAATGCTAAATATGGCCAATAATTGGAAGGTGTAGCTTTTTATTTTTTTCTATTTGAGCTTTTAGTTTAAAGCTTCCCTTCAGATTTTTTTTCCCTGTGAATACTCTGAATAATCAGGAAAATTACAGAGTAGCTAACATTTCAGTTTGAATAAAGACTATCTTCCACTGACTAGAGTTAACATTAAGTACGTGAAAATGTTGCTATCGAGTATGTAAGATACATGAATAACAAGATAGGAACATGAATTTGGGATGTTTGCAATTTGGAATTACCCAGTCACTCTCTACACTGATCAAAACCTAAATTGAATGAGTATCAGTTGTGACTAGCTCATGGTCACCATTATTGTAACTTGTTTGATTTCTTAAAACTTTTTATAACAGAAACTTAAATATATCTAAGAGGTGAGCAAATACTATAATAATCTTCACATATTCATTTTCCAGCTTCAGCATTTATAAACATTTGGTTCATCTTCATCCATAACTTACTTCTGACTTGATTATTTTAGAACAAGTCCCAAGTAGAACATTTCATCTGTGGAAACTATTATGTATCTCTAAAAGTTAAGGATTAAAAACACACACAATCATAGTACTTTATCCTACTTCCCAAATATTTTAACAGTTGTATCATAGATGTCCTTTTACAGCTGGTTCATTTGAAGTGAATCCAAACAAGGTTATGCATTATGTTTAGTTGATACATTTAAATCTATAATGATTTACCATATATCTTTTTTTCTCTTTGACATGTGTTAAAGATACAGATAATTTATCCTGAAGAATTTTTTTTACATTCTGAATCTGGCACAGTGCATCCTTGGTATCATTTAACACATTCCTCTATCCCCTGAGGTTTCCTGTAATTTGAAGGTCAGATCTGAATATTTAATTAGTCGTGTGTGGTTTTTTTCTTTTTTTGGCAGAAATATTTTTTTGACGGGATTACTTACGTGCTACTGTGGTGCATCATGATGCATGTAATACCTGGATGGCTTCTTTCTATGTTAGAAGTATTGGTCAGTGTGTACAGGAGTTTTAATCCTAATCCATCCCTTTAAAAAGTTGCTTATGGTTTCAGCAGCCATCAGTGATCACTGCCTACATCTGTTATTTTATTAGGGCGTCATAAGCTGTGGTGTTGTCATTCTATAACTTCTATATTTATTGGCTAGCATTCTACAAGGTAAAACTTGGCAGTGTAACCATTTGATTAACTTGATGTGATTTTTATAGGAAAGACAGGATAAGTGCTTGATTCCTTTTACTTACCAGTTTTCAGAATAATGAGTTGCTTTCCTAGCATCTTCCAAGGTGACCACTGTGGTTTTTTAAGTACAATTATGAACTCATGGATTTTTAACATGTGTGATATGTTTCACCCCATTTATAGCCCTTCTTGATGTTCAGATTTTCTCAGCATTGACCAGTGGGGGCTGCTTCATGCTGGCTCCTGTGGGTTGTTTTGTTTTTGACATGCCTCGTGTTTCATAGCTATGTTAACTTCAATATACCAAGGGGTACTACTGGGTTCACCTTAGAAATTTTCTGCCCAAACCTAGAAGCAGCCTTTTATCCTAAGGAACTGTTTCTTTTTGAAGTTGTATTTAGAGGCCTCACTAGTGGTCAATCAAGAAAATCAGGCTTTATTTGAATAAACAGCCATCTTAGGTGTTTGAATGCTGTTCTTTTGTCATTTATTTTAAAAACACACAATGCAAACTAGCCTTTTAGTTTCTCATTGACTTTGAGACAGTTATTAATTACATATACTTGGTACATTGAGTGCTGTGTCACATTTAAGTTAGTCATATAGACTGAGGTATATTCTTTTTTTCTCTTTAGCTTACTACATTCTGCAAGGAATTCTCTGCAGTTCATTCTTAAAACTTTTCTGATCACTATTCTCCAACTATTTTCAAATCACTGAAGATATGTTTAATTGTTTTTGCAGTGTAATGATTGAGTGATCCTTTTCTAATATAAATTTTGAAAGGATTGGTGCTGAATACAGTTACATGGTCTGCTCTGCAGTATGATTTTGTCACCGCCTTGCTCCATATATAGGAAGAGATAGCACATCTGTTTCCTTTACACATTTACTATGAAATCAGATGGTTGTTATGTGGCTTGTCCTATTAAGGAATATTAACTATCTTCTGGAATTTTACAATTTAAGGGCCTTTCATCAGGTGTAAAAAAAATTCTGTATTCATTTTACTTTGTCTTATATCACAGTGAATGTCTGACTTTAGATGTAAAATATTGGGTAGGCCTTATAAATTGTCTCGTGGGTTAGTCAGTGAAGGAGACACTATTAAAAGACCAACCAAAGGGAAGTTCTGTTCCTTGATGCCTTGTTTTTTCTAATCTTGTTCTACAAAATTTGGCTTCATTGTGTCTGACATTCTTGCATCACTATATATATAAGCTCTAAATATGCTTTCTCTCCAAAAATGGTTCTAAATATCTGAGCTAATTTCACATGTACAGTGGCTGGTCTGTTTATCTGAGGTTTTGTTCTTTCTTTCTCTCTTTCTCTGTGTTTGTTATCCACATGCTTACAGGATAACAAATTCTTACTATCTTTTTTCTTTTGAACATGTCTTGTTTTCTGTGAGAGTATGCTTGTGTTTTTTTTTAAGTTCCTTTATTATTCTTTTTTTCTGCTCTGAGATACAGGAATATTTTGTGCAAACATGAAATGTGAGCTTGGGGAGGAGTTTTTTTATTTTTTGTTTTTTATTTAATGGGTGTAGCAGCCTTCATAACCATGTGTCTCATTAGATAGAAAACTGTGCATGAATAATAAATAGCTCAGGGCTCCTTTGTCTAATAATTTGATGTGGTTGATTATTTAGTTTGGGCAAAATTAGCAGATATTTATTCCATTTAAGATTATAAAAGATGAAGATTATGCAGTCATACTGCCTAATTCTTATTCTTTCTTTATACCTCAGTGCATCGCAACCAGTTGTATTTCTGTTTCTTGAGTTAGAAAGAATTTCAGTAACATCTTTCTTGACTGGTATGGGTGATGTACTTTCTCTATTCTTGGCTCAAGTCTCAGGAAGTACATCATTGCCTAAGAGAAGCCTGTGACTCTCAATCCCAGCTGCCCTCCTATTCTTTCCTCTGTAGGACAGCCCATGTACTCTCGTGAACATGGTGCTGCTGCATCTGAGCGACTTCAGTTGGGGACACCGCCTCCTCTGTTGGCAGCTCGTTTGGTGCCACCTCGAAACCTCCTGGGCTCCTCCATTGGGTACCATACCTCAGTGTCCAGCCCCACCCCTCTGGTCCCAGGTAAGCTTTGCTACAGATGGCCATCCACCTCTCTGATTATTTGTACCATAAGCTGGCCAGTCTAAGAGGTGACCTGGCATCTGATCTGCTGTCAAAAATTCCCAGTAAAGCTCTTAGATAGTTTTATTTTCTCTTCTTCTGTTTCTTTGGTTTATCCCTAGTGGTTGCTAGCTGATTAGGCCTCCTGTGTGTCTGTCATCTCTGGTGTCCTCTGTATATTTACTTCCAGTGCCTCGGTAACAAAAGTTACTAGTTTCTAATCCAACAGATAGGAAGAGAATATCTACTTGGATGTTTTCTAATCAGTTACGCATTACAAGAAAAACTCAGTTAATGAAAAAAAAACAGTCTGGTTTCTTGCTGATCATGGTTGAACATGTCTTTTTCGCCCCCTCTGCCCCTGTTATATGGACTGGCTGTATAATGTAGTGATTTCTTGAAAACTTTTCCTTCCTTTTGGCATGTACATTTTCAAGATTTATGGAGTATTTTGTGGGTGTCTGATGAGATTTTTACATTCCTTACTTTGCCTTTAGATCTCAGTTCATCATAATTAACTAAAGGACTTTAAAGTTTCTTTGAGTTCTTTGTCATCCCAGGAATTACAGAACAAGGTCATTTGATTGTGTAACTTCTTTAAAAGTATACATGTTCTGTCAATTTTCTGCCAAGAGTACCAAATGGTAACTGAAAACTTTTTTATTGTAATTTGCTGATCTTATACTCTGAGTCATAGAACTGATTGGCCCGTAATAAAGAACTGAATGTACCTTACCTTGTAGTTGAAACTTCACATGAATGACGTAAGCAATTTTTCCATTAAAAAAAAAAAGACATAAGGACTTACAAATCACAATTGGGAAAATGAGTGTCTTCACCTAATCTTAACCCTTTTTTCATTTTATGTAGGATGAAGAGGGTATATGCCATTTGGAGATCTTCACATTCATTCAGAATTTCTTTAACACTAACAAAATAGTTATTTAGCATTAGAATTTTTAAAATGAGATTTTTACTTGTAGAGAAAAAACAGGGAACATGATAAAAGTGGCATTGATGAGGCAGCTGATAATAAGATAATGATTACATGTATAATATAAAATTTATCTTATTTAGTTGTTAAAACGTTTAATATATATTTATATATGAATTCTGCTGTTATCTCTTCAGTTTTAAGTATAAATAATCAAATTAATAGATATTTTCTCACTAATTAGAGGAGTACCTAGAAGTCGGTGAGCCGTGATAGCAGAGGAAACTCAGCTGCCCCTTTGTGTGGTGTCCCCTGCATGAGAACTCCTTTTAAAAGCATACATTGATGTTTAGATAAGGTGATTCATATATGGGATTAAAATGACGAGGTAAATGAATCTGGAACTGTTTCAGTAATTAACAATGGATTTGTATTTATGTTTTGTGACAGGAGCATTTTTCTTTCACTTCCAATAAGTCTGTCTGGAACTCAAAACATATGTGGGTTGAGACATTAGTTGAAGAAAATTCATTTTCACAGTTGTGTATTTTATAGTAATAAATTATTTAACTACTCTCTGATTTTTCATGTGTTTTTTTGTTTTGTTTTCCCTCAGATACCTATGAACCAGATGGTTATAATCCAGAAGCTCCTAGTATTACCAGTTCTGGTAGATCTCAGTACAGACAGTTCTTTTCAAGAACACAGACACAGCGCCCGAACCTGATTGGCCTAACATCTGGGGATATGGATGCAAATCCAAGAGGTGAGAATGCCTTGAACGTCCTGATGTCAAGTTTCTGACCTCGCTAAAGGTCTGAAAGTACTTCCATACTATCTCTTGAAGGGTGCTATATAATCATCTCAAATAAATGTTTCTCAATAAGTTTATCTTCAAATTTTATTTAAAGATGTAATTAGAATATACTTATTCTTAAGTAAAAATAATACTGATGTTATTTAATTGCAATTTTTGTAGGATTTCGGATCATTTTAGCTCTGTATTGGGCATGTGCTAGATACTAGATACAGTGAGATGAAATGATGCGGTCTCTTGCTCTCAGGGAACTGACCATTTAAGGGCCTGCTTTGTATCGTAGGAACTGCGCTTCACGCTGATAGCATTGGGAAACTAAGACGTCTTTAACTTTCAGTACTTATGTTTACAACCGTATGTTAGGACTTTTACAAACCATAGTCACAAACCTTAAAAAGAGTGTATGCAAGCATTTATCTTAGATTTGGGTTGAAAATCCTCCCCTCCCTTCAAAAAGTTTGGTTAAAGAGTTAGATGAGATTTCAGTTCACTTATTACAGTTATATTTCCAATATTACTTTCAGTTTGAATAACTGGCCATGGGCCATCCTAACAGTATTTTTCTGATTTAACTGTATGTTGGACATTTTCCCATTCTTACCTTCTTTCCTGCCTTAATTTGATTAACTTTGCTTTATTGCTATTAATAACACTACTAACCACTACAGGCTGTTTTGTGTCAAGACTAAACCAAATGCTTTTATGTGTGTTATCATCTTTCATATTCTTTACCAACAACTTTTTGTCAAAGAGCTTGTATTTTTATACTCTTTTTACAGAAAAGGAACACTGAGGCTTAGAGAGGTTAAAGAACCTGCCTAAGGTCACATTGCTGATAATGGCAGAACTGGAATTGAACCCATGTCTATCTAATTGCAAAGAATATATTCTTATTTTCTATGCTGTTATGCATATATTATTACTAGTTTACCTGAAACTAAGGGCAAGATCATACTCTCAGAATTTCAAGTCTTCCCTTTGTTACTAACCCGTTCTATGTATTCATATACAGTAATCCATAATCTCTCCGTGAGAAGTCACATGGTTTTTATTCATTGGGCTTGCTTTGTCATTTTGGACAGGTCACCTAACCTCTAGCTGTATCTTTTTTCCTTTTTTATTATAAAGCATTTCAGTTAAAGAGAAACCTAAGGCAGTGTCGGGTGGTAATGATAACTATTTTAGGGGATACATAATAGCGTCTCAAATTCCAGAATGTTTTGTGCCATCACAATTGCTAACTCCTCCATGAGCTTATTGAAAGTAAAAACACAGATCTAGAAATGCAGGGATCATATTTATTTTAGTCACTAATTTATATTCAATATGTAATAAAACTGTTGAGCTGTAGCAGCTGCTTAAGAAATACATGTTAAATTAATGAATCTGCATTGTAATTTCCCTGTCACACAGAAGAAATGGAGCATATCACCTTTTACCCCCATCTGTACCCTAGCGTTCAACCCTACATATGTTATTCTTTGCTGCTAATTTTACTTTTGGTGGAATTGCTAAAGTTAGGAAAACTATTCAGAGTATAACAGATATTTTGTGTTGTTACTTTACTTTTTTGTTTAACACAACTTTTTCCCAAACCACATATAACCTATTGTAAGGTCAGTTCCTTACAGTATTTTAGCCTTAACTGTTGCAAATCAAATATGTCAGTTTATAATATTGGCTTTGAATTTTCCTCCCAACTTTTAAGTCAGAAAATTTTTAAACCTATAGAAAATCAAATGAACAGTAAACACCTGAATACATTCAGAGTCACCAACTTTTAACATTTTGTCACCCTTTGGGCATGAACACTTGGGTGTATGCACTCTTTCTCCTACCACCGCCCCCCCGCCCCCCCCACACACATTTTTTTCTTTAACCATTTGAAAATATTTTGTAGAGATTGTGACACTTTGGATACTTTAGTTTACATCCAAGGATAAGATAGTCCTGTATAAGCACAGTATCTTTGCCACACATAAGAAAATCAAAATTGTGTAACAATATTGTATCCAGGTGAACTTTTTGTTGAATCACATCAAGAGACAGATAATTTCTCTGTATGCTGCTAAGTTTGATTGTTTTCCTAAGGTGATAATGGTTAGATCTCTCCATTGTAAAGTAAGTAATTTGTGGAGCAATACTTTGGCACCAGATAAATACCTTTTTCTCCAACAGCCTTCCACTGGTTTTTTCCTTCTTTTTTTAGCATCTGTTGATGATCCTTTCCTGAATCATTTATTACATTAGGGTTGCTATGACTTTTTCAACTTGAATATTATATCAAATTTAAAAAGTAGCTGATTATTTTTTCTTGCATTTTTAGGCATTTCTGAAAAGGAAATGGTAGTAGTTGGGTGCCATTCATAGGGCTTTTTAGCTTCTGGACTAAATATTTTAATCATTTGAAATTCCCCAAATGTAATGCATTGTTAGTAACGTTAGTTTTTGTTCCCGACAGCTGCAAACATTGTCATCCAGACCGAACCACCAGTTCCAGTTTCAGTTAATAGCAACATGACCAGAGTGGTTCTCGAACCAGACAGTCGGAAGAGAGCCGTGAGCGGTTTGGAAGGGCCGCTCACGAAGAGACCTTGGCTGGGAAAGTAAGATAATTTGCTGATTAGTGACATCTAATCGGTATTTTTGTTTTTGTCTGCATTAATAAATCTATTTTTAAAAATTGAGAGTTGTAATGAATCAACGATTTTCAAACTCTGTGCCTCAAAATTAGGTTTCCCAGAGGCAGCATTAGAATTCCTTTAAAATTGAAAAGCTAACAATATTTTTAATAGGTACTAGTAATTTGTACCTACTTATTTCTAGGTCTAACCCAATATTAAAAATTATTGAGGCATTAGAAATGAATAGAAAAGAAGAAAAAAGTTCTGTACTTGGGCTGAAGTTGAAACATGTGCCTTGAAAAATAATGTTCTGGCTTTGCTTTAATGTTAGACTCCTCATAATTGTGGTGCATCTTTTTAGCATATGATTTTTAATCTCAGTTGGGCCTCTTTTTGTGGTCTTTTGCCATTCAGTCAGTATTCTTTCTCTTCACCTGTTCTATTCCCATGTAAAAGTATGATGTGAAAACTAGTAATTCCTGAAGAATGTAAGTGCTTACAAAAGATACTTTAATAAATATAAACTCACATTCTTTGCCAACATATCTCTTAACTAGGAATAAGGTAGGACAATTAACCAAGATCTATTAATACTCTTTTCAGGCAAGGGAATAACAGCCAGAGTAAACCAGGATTCTTGAGAAAGAATCAGTATACAAACACCAAATTAGAAGTCAAGAAAATCCCTCAGGAATTGAACAACATTACCAAGCTCAATGAACACTTCAGCAAATTTGGAACTATTGTTAACATCCAGGTAAATGTGGCTATGTTGGTGACAGAATCCATGTATTTTATACATCTTTGAAAATATTACTATCAGCTCACTTTGCTAAAATGAGCCAGTGATTGTCTCTGCTAAGTGTTTTAAACTCCACTATATAACTGTATCCCCAACTTTATGATGGCATTGTTGAGCTGAATTTGTTCTTTTGAATTCTTTTCTGCAACCTCTTCCTGAATGACACTGGGCTAGTTACTGTATTTTTGTTCATAGTTCTGTATCTGGACAAATGACTTTGATCTGCTTTAGTATTCTAACTAGGTAGATGCAATTTTTGGTTGTTTCTAAGATTGTAATTTTGACCCCCTGGCTGACTTTCATATTGTAGGGAAATAGCAATGGCTTAAGGATGACTCTGAGGTTGAGAATTTCAGGGAGTGTTCAATGTTATCTAATGTGAAGTAAATTGTAGCTTTTGTATTTGCAAGAGAGCAAAATAGTAGATACTTGTTAAATGTTTGAGTTGGATTTTGGGTGTTACTCTAACTCAGGGTACTTGAAGGCTATTCGTGTTGGAATTTCAGTCAGGTATCCCTGATACTTCGTGTTGCCATCAAACTGAAATATGATTTATGTAACTGAGTTTGAAAAGGTAGTATCAGGGGACTTGGTATTTCAAAGAATTGAACCAAAGTATTCTTTTTGAGAGGTTTTTAAACAGTTTTTTCCCCCTGAGTGCAGTACATGTTTAATTTTACAGCTAATTATAAATGCATTAAACAAAAGTGGGGAAAAAAAATCACTCAAATCTCACTACTTAGCAGTAATAATCTTTTGAAGAAAACACATAGTGTATTTGATAATATAGAAGAATGCACACACATCTTTTTGTTTTAATTTTTTATTATTTTTTTATTTTGGTATCATTAATCTACAATTACAGAAAGAACATTATGTTTACTAGGTTCCCCCCTTCACCAAGTCCCCCCCACATACCCCTTCACAGTCACTCCATCTGTGTAGTAAGATGCTGTAAAATCACTACTTGTCTTCTCTGTATTGCACAGCCCTCCCCGTGCCCCACGCACTATACATGCTAATCGTAATGCCCTCTTTCTTTTCCCCGCCCTTATCCCTCC